CTTCTTTCCATCGACTGTAAATGTTGTTCCATTACTATGATATCCTTCTTCTCTCCATCGACTGTAGATGTTTTTACTATGATATCGTTCTTCTCTCCATCCACTGTAGATCTTGTTCCTTTGATATGATATCCTTCTTCTTTCCATCGACTGTAAATGTTGTTCCATTACTATGATATCCTTCCTCTCTCTGTTGACTGTAGATGTTGTTCCATGACTATGATATCGTTCCTCTCTCTCTGTGTTGACTGTACATGTTGTTCCATGACTATGATATCGTTAATTGTAGATGTTGTTCCATGACTATGATATCGTTGACTGTAGATGTTGTTCCATGACTATGATATCGTTCCTCTCTCTCTGTTGACTGTAGATATTGTTCCATGACAATGATATCATTGAGTGTAGATGTTGTTCCATGACTATAATATCGTTCCTCTCTCTCTGTTGACTGTAGATGTTGTTCCATGACTATGATATCGTTGACTGTAGATGTTGTTCCATGACTATGATATCGTTGACTGTAGATGTTGTTCCATGACTATGATATCGTTGACTGTAGATGTTGTTCCATGACTATGATATCGTTCCCCTCTCTCTGTTGACTGTAGATGTTGTTCCATGACAATGATATCATTGAGTGTAGATGTTGTTCCATGACTATGATATCGTTCCTCTCTCTCTGTTTACTGTAGATGTTGTTCCATGACAATGATATCATTGAGTGTAGATGTTGTTCCATGACAATGATATCATTGAGTGTAGATGTTGTTCCATGACTATGATATCGTTCCTCTCTCTCTGTTGACTGTAGATGTTGTTCCATGACAATGATATCATTGAGTGTAGATGTTGTTCCATGACTATGATATCGTTGATTGTAGATGTTATTCCATGACTATGATATCGTTGACCATAGATGTTATTCCATTACTATGATATTGTTATTTTTAGTGTTTCAATAGACATAAGAAGCTTGTATTTATAACCAAGTTCTTGTTACAATGAGGTTCCAACTGTAATATTTATTGTTTATCCATTATTGGCTACTAGTTCTTGTTTCCTGTACTTAAGCTTTCTAAAGGAACACTACATTTCTGTAATAAAGCTAACTTCAAAAGGTAACGATAACATTGTTTACAATAGAATTATGATTTTTTTAAATTATTACTAATCATTAATCTAACTTATATAAAATCAGTGTGTGTCACGTCACGTCATACTTGATTTCTCGAAATAGGAGGAGTCATAAACGCCAAAAATACATTTATCCTGAAAGAATAGTTCGATTACTGTTTGCCCATTACAATTTTAGTAACGGGTGTAAGAGGCCATGACGGTGGGGGGTGCCGTGAAACCTTACAAGTGTAGTTAGTGTTGGTATAACAAGCCTAAAGTAAAGACGTATTGTGGGATCGCCTAGACTAGAGCCAAGTGCATAAAATTTATCATGAAATTAAAAATATCTATTCAATTCTACAAGTTTCTGAATTAAGCTATTTTCTATTATATCATCAACATCTTAAATAAAAAACAAACCTCTTTAATCAAAGGAGACTCTAAATTAAGAAATCAACAAATATTTTTTCAGTTTTGTTGTCCATATATTTCATTATTTATTTTCAATAGATAGACTAACAACAATATTAGGTTATACTTTTGTTGCTTAGCGACATGACATAAAAGCCATTGTTAGAACTTAGTATTACGAAAACGCACTAGCTTTTCTGTATATTAGAAGTTGTTAATCTAACTGATTTATACCAATAATTATTCTATCAATACGCCACGAATTCATTTCTTGAATGACTTTAATTTTCATTGGCTCACGTTTGACAACCTGGACTGCACTTTTCTGCCTCTTTGTTGGTCAAGCTTGATTTCGCAAAAATTATTTATTTCAGTTAGCTATGAAATGTGAAGTCAAGGTATGTTATTGGGTGGGGCTATTTTTGACGGGCTATATGCTAGTAATACTTGTAAAAGATGATACTCCGTTTGAAACTGTCATCTCAGTGAAATTGGTTGACACCATTTTTCGGTGTTTGAGTTATCATGTAATAAGAAAGCAGCAGTAAAAAGAACAACGAGAAATTCAAACTTTTTTCTATGATATTTACAGACATTCCAAGAACTTGTGACTAAGTCATTACATAGACATTGCTATAAAAGGAAACACTTTATTAGTATTGTACAGTTATGATGACTTATTGAGGAGATATTTAAAATACTATTTCGATGAACAATCCAAGCCAATCTTTACGTAGACAGTGCTGCCACCTGCCTGATAGATGTAACTGTTTAATTCTTTTATTTTACAGTTAAGTCTTCTTTAACGATGTTTATGTATAGGTGTGACTGTTTAATCCATTAAATTTTCTGCTATACAGTTTAGATATGTTTTATATATAGTTGTGACTGTTTATCTAATTAAATCTTTTATTTTGCTGTATCTTAGTTCAAAGATTACTTCGACATGGGACATGGTGGTTAAAACCATCCGAACGTAGACTTTTTTTTAAACTAACACTTTTTTATATATAGATATAACTTGTTGATTCCTTTAGTCTACTATTTTACCGTTAACATCTAACACGTTTTATATATAGAAGTAACTGTTCAATTCCTTAAATCTTCTATTTTACCATTAAGTCTTCATTAACGATGTTTATGTATAGCTGTGACTGTTCAATCCATTAAATATTCTATGTTACAGCTTAGATATATTTTATTTATAGTTGTGACTGTTTAAGTAATCAAATAATTTATTTTGCTGTATTTTAGTCCAAAGATTACTTCGCTTTAAAGTAGAACTTGACTTGGGACATGGTGGTTAAAATCATCCGAACGTAGACTTCTTTTTAACCATGCCAAGTCAATGATTAGCAAACCGGATTAGGATTCGTGGGTCCTACATTCGCGTCCGGTTTCTTCCAGACAAAAATCACACTCCATACTTTGGGTGAATTATAAGAGTGACAGTCAAATCCTACTATTCAGTCAGACAAGAGTAGACGGTGGGTGTTGTTGATAAGCTTCTTTCTCTGTTATTAGATCTCAGATCGGTCAAGAGATGGAGTTATGAGCTAAAAGTTTGTTCTTGAAAAAAAAAACAAAAAAAACTCCAGAGCTATTGTATAAGCCGCAGCTAAATAACTATGTATTACTAGTAACACATCGTTGTTAGATTAGCACAAATCTCTTGTAATTCGTGAAGTACTTGCTGTAAAACTGTTTCCTGAGGTTGTTAAGCAACAGAATGAGTTCAAACATGGGACATTCATATATAACAGCTTTCTTTGCAGACAACTTGTACTCGTGGTCTATCAATCAATAATAACATTAAATGGAAATTATAAATCACGATTCGCAATTAAAATCATCATGATGTAACAAAAAATGTGTTCAGACTACTTAATCTTCTACAGTGTAGTAACCCTCAAACTAATCAGATCAGCCATAGATCAGAGTATTTTATCTGTCACAGTGAATCTAATCAGATTATTTTATCTGTCACAGTGAATCTAATCAGATTATTTTATCTGTCACAATGTAGTAACAGTGAATCTAATCAGATTATTTTATCTGTCACAATGTAGTAACAGTGAATCTAA